CTAATGGTTAAAGGAATGTTTGGGGGGAAGAAAAGCAACAACATGATACATCCACTTTTCATCTGTCAGATTGGCCTAAAATGAAGGGACAACCTCAATTTGGTGGAGATGCAAGGAAACAGGCATACCAGAACACTGCTGGTAGAAGTAAGGTGGGACAGAGTCACCTAGATGCATGTCAAGCTTGAATACACCTACTTTCACTAAGCAGTCTTACTTTTAAGAAATCCTATAAGGATAAAAGCACCTCTGCACATAAATATGTGCACCTAGATATTTATTGAACTATCTGGAGAAAGAACTGGAAATCTAAATGTTAATTAGTAGGTAAATGGCTAAGTAAATTGTGGAACATCCATGGAATAGAATAGAATACACAAAAGTTTAACATGGAAGAAGGGAAGAAGGAGGTAATATTTTCCCCAACTCCTCTGAACCCCACAGAGTAATAGGATACCAAAGAGAGAGCGAATCTGTATCTTTAAGCCACATAGTACTTTTTTTTTTAAAGATTTTATTTATTTGTTCATGAGAGACACACACAGAGAGAGGCAGAGACATAGGCAGAGGGAGAAAGAGGCTCCGTGCAGCAAGCCTGATGTGGGACTCAATCCCAGGACTCTGGGATCACACCATGGGCGGAAGGCAGGTGCTAAACCGCTGAGCCACCCAGGGATCCCTAAACCACATAGTACTTAATGACAGAGCTGCTCTGTTGAATGAAGTGGCCTTGTCAAGAATACTCTGAAGTATTTTGATGCTTGATATATTTACCTAAGTAGAGAGGTTAAAATGTTACCCTCTGGAGTACTTGGGAAAAGGTGAACATATATTACTCAAATGCCTTCTAGAAAGGTATGTAGCTTTTGCTATAGTTATTTTCAAAACACAATCTTTTTTAGTTTTTCATGACTTCCCCCCCCCTTCCTTTTTGACTCCTATGTATATGTGGCCAATAATTCAAGGACCTAATGTAGATACAGTATCACATTGTTTCACAAGGCTTCTGAGATTAAAGAACATTTCTTAGGCTCTCCCACAGCAAATACAGATGGGTGATAGAAACCATTGTTATGACAACCCATTTCCTTCCACAGAGAGATTTTATTCATTGGAGTTGTCCACTCAGTGTAGGTATAACCTACGTAACAGAACTTCAGTATTACAGTGTATCAGCCCTGGATAAATTTTAAATGATTTAAAAAACTATACTCCTCCCACATGCAAAATACTCCCCAAAATTCCAATATTATCCTGTTGTTGCTTCCAGATCAGGCGTGAGCCCCAGGATCCCATTATCGAAATCAGGTCCAAGTACATATTTGGCTCCTTGATTGGGGTTCCTTGTGTAGAGTACTTCTCAGTCTAAAGACCTATGTATTAATTAGTATGAACTAGAGCTAGTATTAGTTCATAGGTCTTGCACACACCAAACATACAGTTGTGAGACTGTATGACTATCTCCCATTCTAAAAAAGGGGAAATGGGAGTCACATAGTAGTACCTGGTCTATACAGATTCTAAATAATCCTCTTCCCTGGATTTTTTTTTTTTAAGATTTTATTTATTCATAAGAAACACAGAGAGGGGCAGAGACATAGGCAGAAGGAGAAGCAGGCTCCCTAGAGGGAGGCCCCTGCAGGACTCCAACCCAGACAGGGGATCATGCCCTGAGCCAAAGGCAGACATTCAACTGCTGAGCAACCCAGGCATCCCCTCTTCCCTCAACTTAATTCTCCACAACCCTTGGCTCTCACCCTTGGGCTGTTTTTTTCTTTCAAAGTCTGAGTTAGCTTTTTTCCATAAAAGTGGCCCATGTTTTTAACTGAAAATGTCAACAAAAGAAGTTTCAGGATTCAAAGACCTCTACATTTTGTGCTCTCCCTGTCCCTTATAGTTCAGCCTAGTAAAATGGCTTTTAAAAGGGGCATATGGGTGGCTCAGTCTGTTAAGCCTATGCCTTTGGCTCAGGTCATAACCCCAGGGTTCTGGGATGGAGCTCCACATCAGACTCTGCTCCATGGGGAACCTGCTTCTCTGTCTCCCTCTGCCCCCTCCCCCTGCTTGTGTTCTCTCTCTCTGTAAAATAAATCTTCAAAAAAATTTGCTTTTAAAAACTGTGTTTCTTCCGTATTAATTTATAATGCATTCTGAAAACAGCCACACTCATAATTTTTTTTTTTTTTTCTGAAACGGGCTCTTCTCTGCCTTGAGCTACCTCCAAGATTGCTGTGGTATACCACATTAAGATTCTTAGAAATTGGGCAGCCCCAGTGGCGCAGCGGTTTAGCGCCGCCTGCAGCCCGGAGTGTGATCCTGGAGACCCTGTATTGAGTCCCACGTCGGGCTCCCTGCATGGAGCCTGCTTCTCCCTCTGCCTGTGTCTCTGCCTCCTTCTCTGTGTTTCTCATGAATAAATAAATAAAATCTTAAAAAAAATATATTAAAAAAAGATTCTTAGAAATTCTAGTATCTCATGAAAAGGGTCTAGATGGCACACCCATAATTTTTTTTGAGATCTCAACAAAGGGACTTCACACAACGTTGGCCACATCTCTACTCCAAGACCATTTATAATCCACCCAGGTATTGGGTAATTTTTTCAAAAATTATCATGAGGCCATTGTTACATAGACCCGTGTGTGCATGCACACACACAGACAACACAGAAGGAGCTAGCACAGCAACCCTTTACTATGAAGATTGGTAATTGGAAGGAAAGCATTGAGAGGCTATCACAGGAAAACAAGAGCTTCAGGGTGCTGTGCTAGAAGTATTCAAGAAGGTAGGAGGCTCTCGTTTAAAATCAAGGGTTGCCAACTTGGACTATAGCATCTCATGGGTAAGTACACGAGAGAACTATATAGAGCAGAATTACACAGCCAAAGATAAAACTAGCTTTTGTAGTATTTGGGGTAGGTTCAAATGAGATTTGAGATGGTCAAAAGGCAGCAAGCAAGCTTCTAGCAAGCTTTCTTCAGAAGATGTCCCTTTTAGTCACTTATCATAGGAGGTAAATAATTCTGAATAGAGAGTTAAAAATACTCTGTGATGAAGGTATAACCACTGGTGATCTGTACTAGCTATGAGTGGGGGTTGTGGTCTATGGAAGTAATAGGAAAGAGCATTGATCCCAAAATTTTTATTCTATCCTTGAGTTTCTAGTTTGCCTGACGTTGAACAATTCTCTTACCCGACCCCATCTGCATCTTCCCCGCTGAACAGGGAGCCCAATGCAGGACTCAATCCCAGGAACCTGGGATCATAACCTGAGCTGAAAGCAGACAACTGCCTGAGTCACCCAAGCACCCTAATTTTAGCATTTTTAAAAGATGTATTTTAGAGTAAGAGCATGCAAGAGGGGTGAGGGGCTGAAGGAGAAAGAGAAGGAGAATCCCAAGTGGACTCCACAATCAGCACGGAGCTTGACACAGGACTTGATCTTAGGACCCTGAGATCATGACCTAAGCTGAAACCAAGAGTTGGTTGCTTAACCAACTGAGCCACCCAGGCACCACTACAGTTTTGCAAGGAAAGTATAGAACTTAAGAGGTTGAGAATAGATATTTAACTGAATGCAGCTCATGTAGATAGAAGAGAGGGCTTGAGGGACACCTGGGTGGCTCAGCGGTTGAGCATCTGTCTTTGGCTCAAGGCATGATTCAGGGGTCTGGGATAGAGCCCCACATTGGAGCCTGCTTCTCCCTCTGCCTCTGTCTCAGCCTCTCTCTCTCTGTCTCTCATGAATGAATAAATCTTTTTTTTTTTTTTTAATTAACAAAACGAAGAGAGGGCTCGAGGAGTCCCAGAGAACTGGTGAGGTTTGCTGTGATCCACTGGAATGAGAGGAAAGGAAGCCAAGATGAGTGATTGCAGATGGTATTTTTGCTAGGTCCCACAGGAAGTCACGAAAACTCTCCACTGCTGACCTGTATGTTTTGTGTGAAATAGGAGGTAAGAAGGTATATTAAAAGCAGGAAGGGCAAGGGGTGGGAAAGATGTCTCTGGAAAGGGGTGAAGATGGAACCCCCTTCATTCGACTCATGATACAGGAGGATATCCAGGTTGCATGCAGACTTAGCTAAGATTAGAGGTCATGAATCTGTAGAGAATCAAGAGTCACCTTTTTTGGTTCTTCTTAAGGAGTCCATATTGAAAATGTGGATGGCCAGGAAGATTTTGCCAGATGAGTACAAGGAAAGGACAACGAAGTGAAGGAACAGAAGGCACTAGCCATGAGTAGCTGAAGTGTTGGTTGTTGGGGCTAGGCTGGGTGGGAGAGGAAGTGGGCTGGGAGAAATGAAAGTATGTAAAGAGTCAAAAATGAAGTCAAGGATGAGAGACTAGTCAGGGTGTAGAAAGTTGAAGATAGATTATAGAATCTGTGATATAGAAGGGGCTCTGGGCAGTGCTGTGTCAGGGTGCAGCTGGGAACAAGGAAGACAGAAGTGAAGCAATGAGGACAGTTCGTGGGGTTGAGCTTGAAGACACCATGACATCCTGGCTGACTCTCAAAGCACTCATGCAGACACTCTCCTCCTCCTATCTCAGCAGAAGAAGCCAGGTCTCCTTAACACTTGTGCTTTGTCCTAAGGCATCCAGTTTACACATGGCAGATATATTACTACAGTTCTCGGTTGGTGGTGACAAATATCACTACCAATGGGCATTCAGGCAGGGATCATTTCTAACTATTTGGGGATGGGGAAGGATAGGGGTGCATCAATTCTTTTAATCCTAATTTAGTTGTATCACTGCAGATTCAAAAGTATTTAGAAAGTAATTGCCTTATCCCTCCCTCTGATGGGTGGCACCACCAACGACTGAGCCTGCCAAACCAGAAATCCTGTGAATCAACTTAGATGACTTACCTTCCCTCAACTCCCACATCCCATCAATTTCCAGAGCCTGCATGAGCCATCTTCTCTCCAACCACTTAGTTTAGGTCTTCAGCATCTGTATCAGTTTCCTCTCACTGTCACAATAAATGACCACCAATATAAGGTTTCAAAACAACACAAATTTATTATTTATAATTATTATTTTACAGTTGTAAAGTAGAAGTCCAGTGTAGGTCTCAACAGGATAAAATCAAAGTGTTACCTCAAGAGCACAGTTCCCTTCTGTAGGCTCTAAGGGAAGATCCTCTTTCCTCTGCTCATTTGGATTATTGGGAGAATTTACTTCCTTGGGGGTTCATAGGATTGAGATTCCCATTTTTTTTGTTGTCTGAAGTCCATTTCCAACTTCTATAGGCCACCCATTCCTTGGCTACTAAACTAGGTCCAGTTCCTCTCATACTTTCAATCTCTCTGACCCACTCTTTTACTTTATGGAGCTCACATGGTTCGATTAGACCCACTCACATAATCCAGGATAAGCTCTTCATTGCATTGTCTTTAAACTTCAGCATATCTGCAAAATGTGCCAGGGGTTAGGGAGTGGACATCCTTCCCGGATTTATCTTTCTGCCTACCACAGTAACCCAACCTGACAGATATCAGTAACTTCATAAGCAAGTTTCCTGGTTCTGGCATTCTCCATGCTGTTTTCAGATTAACCTTTCTGGAACAACTGACATACCCCCCATGATCAAACTCCTTCTGGCTTTCTTCTAACCAAGGCTCAAATTAATGCTCTTTAGCCTCTATGGGAAAAAAACCAAAACACTTGGATTTGGTCCTCTTTTGTTATTTTGGCTTCATTCCAACCTACACTCTACTTTTGCCCAACCCTCCTGAATACTTGAAAAATGTTGACTGTGCCCATTTCTCCACCTGTAGCTGCTCCTGAAACTCCTATTCCTTCTTCCAAACCCCAATCACACATCACCTCACCTCCTTCAGGAAGGTGTTCCTGACACTGCCCTCCCTCCCTGGTGCTAGAACCACAGGGCAGGACTCTTCTAAACACCACTGAACCTTGTGCATATTCTTATTTGGGGCATGAAACACAAACGTGTTGTGATGTTCTGGTCTACTTCACCTACAAAGTGTTTAATTAACTGTCTTCCAGCCATATCGTGCCACTTCCTAAATGTGGAACTATTTTAGTTCACTACCTCTCCCTTTTCCTGTCAAATGAAGGCAGCAGCAGTCACAGTGAAGTCCACGGAAGTGGCTGAGAGCAGACCGGCTTCCCAGAAGTCAAGGAGCCTTTACCCGCCAGAGGCAGCCCTGCAGTCTCCGCCAACGGCAGCCAGGAATCCTGAATGCATCGACGTCACCGGGTAGACTTGAGGCCCGTAGAAGCTGAGAAGCAAAAAAAAAAAAAAAGAAAAGAACAGGTGCGATTTGGTGCTTATACGGATATTTCTAATCCATAGTAATGGCAGCAGACGGCAACAGTCCTGCGGACCTGCTTCGTGCCGGCGCGGTAAGCACGCAGGACGAGCTCCTTTAACCGTCTCAACACACTATAAGGCTAGTATCTCATTTTTGCGACTTAGGAAACGGGTGTAAACGCGTCCCTCAAGCCAGGCCTGGCCCCTCGCACCCAGAGGTCCGTCCTTCCAGTCCGGACCCAGCTCCCAGACCTCTGCCCAGCCCTCGTCTGCCTTCTAAGGAGCACCCGGCCGCCCCAGCGTCAGACTGGGTGCGCCCTGCCCAGGGCACCTAGCTCCTCCCCCTCGCCCCCGACCTCCTAGGGCCCTCTGCTGGGTGCGCCCTGCCCAGGGCACCTAGCTCCTCCCCCTCGCCCCCGACCTCCTAGGGCCCTCTGCTGGGTGCGCCCTGCCCAGGGCACCTAGCTCCTCCCCCTCGCCCCCGACCTCCTAGGGCCCTCTGCTGGGTGCGCCCTGCCCAGGGCACCTACCTCCTCCCCATCGCCCCCGACCTCCTAGGGCCCTCTGCTGGGTGCGCGCAGCCCAGGGCACCTAGCTCCTCCCCCTCGCCCCCGACCTCCTAGGGCCCTCTGCTGGGTGCGCGCAGCCCAGGGCACCTGGCTCCTCCCCCTCGCCCCCGACCTCCTAGAGGCCTCTGCTGGGTGCGCGCAGCCCAGGGCACCTAGCTCCTCCCCCTCGCCCCCGACCTCCTAGGGCCCTCTGCTGGGTGCGCCCTGCCCAGGGCACCTAGCTCCTCCCCATCGCCCCCGACCTCCTAGGGCCCTCTGCTGGGTGCGCGCAGCCCAGGGCACCTAGCTCCTCCCCCTCGCCCTCCTCCCCCTCGCCCCCGACCCCCGACCTCCTAGGGCCCTCTGCTACCCGCCGCGCAGCCTCTCCCGCGCCTCCTTCGCCCGCGGGCTCCTCTTCCGGCCTCCGCGGCCCCGGGACCCCTAGCCCCTCCTCTCAGCTCCGCTCCGCGCCCGACCTTCGGGCTTCTGGTGGCCCCGCCCCCGACGGCCTCGCCCCGCCCCCGCCCGGCCCTGGCCCCGCCCCCGGCCCTCCCGGCCCGCAGCCCCCTAGCTCCTGGCCTCAGCTCCGCCTCTGGACTCGGAGCTCGTCGTGGCCCCGCCCCGGCCCCTGGAGCCTCCCGTCGCCCCGCCCACCCCGCCCGGTCCGCCCCGCCCCGGCCCCTGGCTCCTTTTCTCCCGCCCGCCGGGGCCCGCGCTTGCCGGTCGGTCCGCGGAAGCCCGCGAGCGTTCGAGCCTCAGGCGCGCCGGGCGCCGTCCGATCCCCAGGTTCGCCTCCGAGTCCCGGCGCCGCCGCGCCCTCTCTCCCGAGTAAGTGCCCCCGGCGTGCGGGTCCCGCGCGCACCGTCGCGGGGCTTTCCCGGCTGCTTTCCGCTCCGCCGGACTTTCGGGGGATCCTTCTAGTCCGTAGTGACGGCGCGTGGGTGGCGCGGGTGCATGTGAGCGAGCGTGCGAGCGTGTGCGCCGGCGCGCACGGCCCGGAACTCCCCGGAGGTGTTCGGCCCGCAGCCCCACCGCCCGGGCCCGACCCCCTCCACCTCCCGCCCTGAGCCCCGCTCGCGATTCCTTCCCTCCCTCCCTCCCTCCCTCCTCCCGTGGACGCGGCCCCCGCTAGGTGTCCCGCCGCCTCCTAGCAGCTCGCGCTGTCCAGAGCACTGCCTGGGCTGTCGGTGCCCCAGATTGCGGACCGAGGTGCCGGCCTGAGACCGTAATCGCACCCTGCACTGTGAAAACGGGCGGGCGAGGGCTTTGCCTTGCGACCGTTCGTTCGTTCGATGGAGACTGCGTCTGAAGAAGAAAGTTGTGTGTGTGTGTGTGTGTGTGTGTGTGTGTGTGTGTGTGTGTGTGTGTGTGTGTGTGTGTGTCAGACTCGAGCCTTAAGCCTCTGATGGAGGAACACCTGGTGAGCGCCTTGGGACCCAGAGAGGCTGATAGGTATGTTCAAGACCAGGCTGACCAACCAAACTTAGACACCTAGAGGATGCTTATTGACTGTGTGACACCGTAATGCTAAAGCCAGCTGATTTCCTGAAACACTGGAACTGGTAGAAAGAGCAGTGCCCTGAGGGGTGCTGGAGGGAAGGAGGCCCTAGTGGGGAGCCCAGCCTTGCAACTACAAAATCTTTGATTTACTTAAGACTGGTAATTCCGTCTCTCTGTAAATTATTTTATTGGGGGCAGTGGGGTGCTCAACACTCTCTCGACTGAGAGTACATTTATGCATTTTAAAAAAAGTCAATTGATAGCCGCACCGTCCTCGAATCCATCCATGAAATGATTCCCCTGGTTGGTGAGGAGGTTCCATCCAATTCCAATAGTCTCTGAATTCTTCCGTATCTCACTCTACCCTTGCTGTGTTCTTGGTGTGAAAGTAGAGATCCCCATGACATTTCCCCACTTCATGGATAAGAATTCATTTAAGACACTGAATAGAAGTTTTTCATTGAGGTGTAAGTAAAGATGGCAGAAAATTCTGTGGCTAAAGGAAATCACCAGAACAGAGCAGCCTTTACGTTGCCATTGTACATTGGCATATGAAAGCCAGAGCTGATAAATCACTTTAAGTGCTGCTTATCTCAGCAGATATTTTTATCCTGGTTTCAATCCTGTGTTACACAAAAGTGTTTCCACAGTGTTTTAACTAAGGAAACATTATGCTGTGAAATGTAAACATATGACTCCATCTCTCTTAAAGGAAAGAAAGAATTATCACACTTAATTAAACACCTGGAAACATTTATTGCCACCTTCTAATTAGATCTGTCATGGGGAGTTAAGTCAGCAAGTTATTGCTAATTCTCTAGCTGGTAACACAATTAGCTTTTCTGTAGATTTTTCAGACGGCTGTTCCCCTCCGTACCCATTCATTTGCCTCCACCACCCCTTTGCCCACCTTTTGAGTTTTTACCTGTTATTTGAGTAAATCGTTTCAGGATGTGGATGCCACCTACCTCTTATAAAATGTGAAGGCTTTAGACATTGAATGTTTTGCATTCACCATTTTGCATGAACAGATGCGGCCCTTATAAGCCGTTATACTCATCTAGATTATCGCATAATTTAAGAATCATTGAGAAATCACTACCTCTAAGAAGATTCCCCCAAAAGTGTAGTGATTCTGCGCAAGTGAGCCCTTACATTTTTTTTCCTTAAGGGAGACTTTTCATCTATTGTGCCTTTTGGTCTAGAGTGCTTAAATTCAATGAGAAATGAGGTGGCGGGAGCTGGAATATCTCCTCTTCGTGGTTCTTTGATTTTCTGTTTCTGACTATATTGCCAAATACAGTCTTCACCTTCGTAGCAGGGTGTTTTGAGTACAGGCCGTCCTGGGTTCCCAAACGAATGGCCAAAACTGAGGGTGACACCCTCTCCGCCGCCACCACCGCCCCACTGGAAGAGTATTTTATGAGGCCTATTCTCTGCAGATCTTGGTTCTGTTGTAATTGGAGGAAAGGGTGTGTGGAGAGAAATGATTGCATCCACACAGGACTCGTTAGGAAATGCCATGGGGGAGGAGGGGCAGATTTCTAGATGGTTTCTGCCTTGGGGAGCTTCAAATGGCCGATTCTTGCTGTTGGGTCTCTACTGCACTGGGCACTACCTTGGTCTCTGAGTTCAGGGATCCAATTAACCCTCTTCTGCTTGGGACAGCCCCTCGGATGGAAGACATTTCCTTCTTGAAGATTTCACTGGTGCTCACACACAACTGAGCTTTGCTACCGCACCTCACAGGATGGTCTGTTCCCCATCCCCTCCACTTTTGTACACAGTGAGGGGACCGAAGGTGGGGTGACCCTCAGGAGGTGGATAAGGATCAGTGATAAGGAGTGAGGGCCACCTGTTTTCTCACAGAGAGGAAAGGCAGTGTTCGTGCCACCCCAGTCCCAGGAGCACAGACTTGGGCCATGAGACCATGCACAGGGGCCAACCTGGATAAACACACACACACACACACACACACACACAAACACAAACCAAAAAACCAAGTGGACAATTTACCCCTGTTTGGCGTTCTCAGGCAGCTCAGGTGTGAGACCGAAATTAAGGGCAGGCCCTGTGTGTGGTGCTGGATTAACTTTTATCACCTTGCCCCTCCTCATGCTGCCCACATCCTGCATTTAATGCCCAGTGCACACAATAAGAACTCAACAAACACTAAAAAGGACCTTTTAACACCCCAACCTTTACGTTTCCCTGCAGGTAACAGTTTAGTTTCTACTCTCCTGTCCCTCGTTTTGAGGATGATGATCCTGGAGTCTGAGTTGACTGCAGCTTCTAGACTTTTATCCGTGAGCGATTCTTACCCACAACTTGAAAATGGATGATTCTTTGAGGGTTAAAAAAAATTGAGTGAACCTTGTTGCAAAACGTAAATGAGGTCAAAGAGTATCCAGTGGACATTAGTTTACTTCTACATTTTGGAATCAGAGGAGGAAATGAGCTACGACTGGAGGGTAGATAATTCTGGAACCAAGAGGCACCAGGCACTTTAGAAACGCTCTGGCCTATGAGTCTCAGACCGTAATATCTGCTGTTACACAAATCTGGAGGTGTATCCCCTCATCCAGCTCGCAGGACGGGAGCACCATTCATTCCCACAGCAGGCATTTATTGAGCTCCTCCTGTGTGTACCGCACCACATAGCGGTCTCATGTTCACAGGGAGGGTCCCAAGAGGCCTGGCAACTTGCAGGAAAATGTTGCCGAGAATGGGCCCCTGCAGGTAAGTTGACGAGGGCAAAAGGTACTTCCTTAGGATAGAAGAGCCATTTGCAAAATACTTTTATTTCAAAATAATAAGAAGCTGAAATAGGCACATTTCTTCTGATGTCCCTTTCAAATGTAATTGCCATAAGCCTGATTTCCTAGGTTTCTGTTTCCTTGGCCTTTTATGTCCAGCAGAGAAGTTACCTGAGAAACTGGTTTTAAAATGTCACAGGCTCTGCGATAATCACGTAATACCCACGCATCCTTTTAGAGAACCGTTGCTTTTCCTCTAGAATCAAGTATTTATGGTTCAGAACCAAGGTAGCAGAGGTTCAGAACCAGCTGCAAAGCTGGATGGGAATTGACAAGTTTGTTTTCCCAAGGTGTGCTTTCATATATAGAACGAGAGGAGTTATAGACTGATGTGGTGATATTTCTCTCTAGGTGACTGGGGGGCCAGGCGCACAGCAATCTGCCCCACCAAAGAGAAAAAAAAATGGATGAGAGGTCCCAGGAATGGGCCTCTCTGCTCAAGCACCCCATGCTGACTTATAAACAAATCAAGATTTGTTTCTTTAATAATAGAGAATGGAATTAAATCCAAAATACCACTTGTAGTTTCCGTAAACATTGGGAATAAGGATGACTTTTTGTTTAGTCACGAAATAGTTGGTTCACATGACTCTGCAGGACTCAGCTGTCCCTGTCTCTGCCACACTGGCTGTGTGACTTTGGATAATCCACTGAAGCTCTCTGAGGCACTTTCTCCCCCTGAAAACCAGGGATGGTATTTACTCCATGGGTTTTGTTATGGGGATTAACACAGAATGTTCCTCTCCTGTCGTCCAGTGAGTAGAAGGCACTCAGCAAAGGGTGGGCTTTTCTGGATTGGCCAAACTGGTCTCATTTCAAGAGGATGATGTTTGTACTGGGTCACAGTGGAGTGGAGAGGAAGAGTGATAACTTGTACCACATGTGCTTTTAGCATGAACTTTCTTTTTTTTTTTCCTATAATGATGCCAGAGGAGCCCAGAGCATGGGGTGAATATAGCACAATTTCAATGATTCCCAGCTGCAGGGTCATGTGATTATGTAGGGAAATCTTGTGGCGGCGGCGGCTGCTGCTGCTGCTGCTAAAGAGAAATGAGCCAGAGCAGGGCATCTGGGTTTTATATATCTGAGCATGAGAAGAGCCACAGCATCCTGGAAGCCTCCCTGTGCATGAGGGAAGCATTTTTCTTTT